AGAATGTGAGGAGTAGTTAGAGACAAGTATGTAGACTGAAAGTTTCCCTAATGATGTGTGAAATTCTCCTCAAAAATGTTTTGTGAAAGAATATATACTAATGAGATAGAGCCTTATATTTAGTATCTTATGTTCCCTCCTCTCCTGGGATGGATTCAGAGACTGTGAAGATATTACCTAAAAAATGTCTTTAACTTCTGAAATATGGTTAAGAATCCCTAAGAAATGTGGGCTTCAGTGCCTGTACGTGCCTAACTAGTTCCCTAGAACCACAAGCCTGGTGGTTTAGACAATAGAAATTTATTCTTGTATAGCGCAGGGAACAGAATACAACATCCAGGTGTCGGAGGGCTGGTTCCTTCAGGAGGGCCTGCAAGGAGGGTCTTCTCCACGTCTCCCCACTGCTTCTGGTGCTAGCCAGAGTCCTCGGTGTCCTCGGCTAGTGGACCCTCCCTCCAGCCCATCTACATATGGCATTTCTGTGTGTCTATATCTACATCAACTTTCCTCTTCTAGCACAACTCCCCACGTCTACAGTGAAGTCTCCAGTATTTCACTTGAACTTGTACCTGCAAATGCCAATTGCATCTGCAAAGACCCTATTTCCAAGTGAACAGACACCCCAGGTGTATGAGGGCCCGATAAGCCTCTCAGGAGTCACTTTGAGGCCTGAGTAGAATTAAGAACCTAAAGAAAGCCCCACTGTCCTTCTGAATGACAAATGATGTCCCCTTGGTGCTGAGGGCCATGGGTTAGTGCTTTTTGCTGCTGGGCAAACACTGATGGATGGGTAGCATCATTAAGAATGACCTTCTTACTTTTTCCCAACAGAGTAATGCCATTAAAACATACAAGTATAATGCCTTTACCTTCCTACCAATGAATTTGTTTGAGCAGTTCAAGAGAGCAGCCAATTTCTATTTCCTGGTCCTTCTTATATTACAGGTAATGCCCTTTGCTATCATATAGCTATTTTGAAGTATGGTGACTCAATAACATTTAAATTGCAAGTGCATGAAATGTAAGTGATCTTGAACATCAGTTTTCTTCTCATAAGGAAACAGACACAAGACTGATTTGTGTTAAATGGTCAGTGAGCGAGGAGCTGTTATCTTAATGCTATGTTTTTGAATTCCATTTCAGAATGCTGTAAAAGTTAAAAAAACTGTTTTCCCCAAAGGGAATAAATTTAAGGTCTTCTCTTTTTAAAAGTATTTGTACCATAAAGTATAGTTTTAGGGTTTTCCTTTTTTATTTAGCTGCCTCATCTGTCCAAGAGTATTATTGATTTTTACAGACATTTTTGTCATATATCTCAGCAAATTATTTTTGTGAACTGGTTAATTGGAAAAGGTCTCTTTTTCTGAAAATTTTCCCCCTGAATTGTAGAAAAGGGTACACTTATATCCAGAGAGCATAAATTCTATCTTTTTAGGAACTATCTTTCAAATCAAGGGAACTCCACACTCTCTAGTTAGCACTTCGAGCAGCACTCAGCATGCAGACCACATAATTACCCAGATGATTTTATCAGATTTTTTACATCAAACAGTCTCACCTGCTGAGATTCACCCAGAAAGCGTTAATGACGATGGGAGCCTATGGTCTGGGGATGAAGCTTCATGAAATAGAGAGAAGACAGGGGAGAGTCATGGGCCCTCCACAGACTTAGTAGAAACTAAAGCCTGCTGACTTGACAGACAGGATGGGCCTGTTATCAAGAGGGACCTTTGAGATAGGTTTATGTAGAGATAAATGCTACAGATTATAAGGTGATAGGTGGGTAATTTTCCCTTCCTTCTGGTGGGGATGAGAGGAGTTCCATATATTGACCATATGTGGAAAATGGTTTCTCTACACCTTGTGTCTCCCCACCCCGACCCCCACCCCAGCCCACCACCATTTATCTTCTGCTAAGATACAGTACTCCGAACTATGTAGTAGAATTTGCTTTACATAGTTATTGTATTGTTACTTCACTTAATTCTTGTACTTTGGGAAAGACCTATCATAACCTTAATTTTGCAGAGAAGAACTGAGGGCTGATGAGGCAAAGCCTCATTGGCTCTAAGTGACAGAGCTGGGCAGGACTTGGGTCTGGGTGTTTGGTGTCAAAGTCCTGTCATTTCAATCATTACATTCTGAGAATCAATGGACTTTCCAAGTATTTTTTGTTCCAACTTGGAGGACATATTGACAGGAGGCAGGACTTCTGCAAGGCAAGTCCCTTTAATGAAGTCAATAGTGAAGACCAGGAAGAAAGCACTTTCTTCTAGAGCCCCAACCCAGCCACTAGCTTTCAGAGGTGACCTCTGTCTACTGCCCTGTTTGCACCCCTCATGGGATCCTCAGAAGCCAGTGGCTGAGCAACAAAGCGTACGGACTCTACCATACGCATTCCCTAAAGTGGAAGGACAACTTCCATCCTTGGTCCTCCCTATTAATTACTATTTTCATAAAAAGTTTTAGGTGTCATGTTGCAGAGTATCCTTATGTCCAGTTAACAGTGAGTCTACTCTCCTAAGGGTTCTGATGCAAGAGATTGGAAGCTTGAGAGAGCCTCCAGACAAGGTTCACTGGGTGCTTGAGACACCTTTCCTCAATGCTCTGCAGGGTGTGGGGTTGGATGAGGTTAGAGATTCTCATGTCCATTTGTTATAGGACAGAAAATCTGTTGCAGGACAGGGGGAGAGAGGGACACCCCTGAAGCCCCAAAACTTGCCTGCTCTAAGTGGGTTCTGCCATCCACCGCAACAAGACAAAACATATAAAACTTTAATGAAAAGGGATTTTAATACAGTAAATATACAATATG